ACCTGTACTGTATCCAGCCCACGCGGGGTTCCTGGAGGAGGCCAGGGGTGGTGGCAGCCCAGGTCCAGGCAGGGTGGTCTGAGGACAGGTGATGCTGGCTCAGGTTGGAGTGGGGTAGAGGTGGGGGTGGTGCCGAGGGACAGGGTGGGGTTTCAGGGTGTGATCTATTTGAGCCCGCCCCCCAAAATGGCACCTTCTCCTTAACCTCACTGTCTCCAGTGGTGGCCACCACGCTGAAGAATGCCAACGCCTCCCTGGTGTACTCCTTCCTCTACAAGACAGTGGAGGTAGGTACTGGTCTCCCAAGGGCTGGCTGGTCTGTCTGTCCATGACTTTTTTTTTTTTTTTTTTGGTGGCTGGTCGGTATGGGGGCCCGAACCCTTGACTTTGGTGTTGTAGCACTGCATTCCAACCAACTGAGCTAACAGCCAACCCTTTCCACCTGTCTTGCCCACCTTTTTCAGGACCCATCTCTCCTAGGAAGCCTTCCCTGACCTTGCTGGGGCCTTCTCTGGGTTAACAGCTACCTGAGCTTTCCCCATCAAAGCCCCATCACTCTGTGCCTTATTAGCTGCTTATGAGATCATCTCTCCCTATAGCGCAGGGATCAAGGAAGCCTCTGAGAGAGTGAATGGCTCAGATCCCCACCAGAGAGCGTGGGATCCAATCCCAGCTACCCCACTTCCTGGCTGTGTAACCTTCAGCAAGTCACTCTTCTCTGTGCCTCTGAGCTAGGGTTTATAACAAGTCCTGTCCCAGGGTTGTTGTACAAATTAATCAAATTAATAGCCATAAAGGGCCTAGAACTGTGCTCAGTATAGAGTAATTGCTCAACAAAGGTTTAGTATTATCCTTAGCATTATTACAAATGTTACAATAATCATATGACAATTTATTGAGCACGTCTTATATGCCTTTCTCAGTGACTGAGAAAGTGCTTAGTAAGTACTTTTCAACAAACAAGCAATATTTATTGCTTTGCCTCCTGTTTGCCAGGCAAGGAGGGGACACAGCTATGGATGGGACAGGCACAGCCCTGACCCTCTTGGCTCACTGACATTAATCAAGGGAATGCAGTAATGTACTTGCAGAATTAAAAGGTTCTCTGCTGAGGTTATACTTACTCATTCCAAGAGTTCTTAACCTGGGACCCCCAGACTCCCAAGCACCTGTGGACAGAATTCAGGGCATCCATGAACTTGTACGCTCCTGCGTAATGGTGTTCCTTTGCCATCCTATACATTTTACTTTTTTTGATGGTTCGCCAGTACAGAGATCCAAACCCTTGACCTTGGTGTTATCAACACCACATTCTAACCAGTGCATATTTTATGCATTTACAAAACTTAGTGCATGGTGGGTCTATAAACATCAGGGATCCATGCCCCCTCCCTCCAAATGATTATAAGCCCTTTTCATTTATCCTTCCAGAAGTCTTCCCAGACCTTTCTGCCTCTAGGCTGCTTATGTTTCCTTAGGTATTGCACACAACATGTTGGATTATATTGATCTCTTTTCCTGTCCATTTCCCCCATTAGACTGTTCCATGAGGGCAGGGACTCTGTCTGCTTTTTCACCAGGTGCTCAATAATTGCTTGTTGACTGGCAGGGACTCTGTCTGCTTTTTCACCAGGTGCTCAATAATTGCTTGTTGACTGGCTGGCCCATGGCCACAGCCAAATCAATCACACACCTATGGGGGTGACTGTCTGTCCGTCCCCCCCCCTCCCCCCACCCCAGGTATTCTGCGAGTATTTCAAGGAGCTGGAGGAGGAGAGCATCCGCGACAACTTTGTCATTGTCTACGAGCTGCTGGACGAGCTCATGGATTTCGGGTTCCCACAGACCACGGACAGCAAGATCCTGCAGGAGTGAGTGGGCCACAGGGGCAGCCACAGGCCGGGCCACTGGTAGGAGGAATTTGGGGAGGGCCAGGGAGGTGTCCCTGGGTCCAGCTGCTCGTCCCCGCTGCCCTCCTGCCAGGTACATCACACAGCAAGGTAACAAGCTGGAGACCGGCAAGTCGCGGGTGCCGCCCACCGTCACGAACGCTGTGTCTTGGCGCTCCGAGGGCATCAAGTACAAGAAGAACGAGGTCTTCATTGATGTCATAGAATCTGTCAACTTGCTGGTGAGCCCACACACTTCCACATCACCCCCGCCACAGCCTGGGGGGCTGGAGATGGGACCCTATGCCTGTTGACCTCCCCGTGTGTACATCCTCAGGTCAATGTCAATGGCAGCGTCCTGCTGAGTGAGATCGTGGGCACCATCAAGCTCAAGGTGTTTCTGTCAGGAATGCCAGAGCTGCGGCTCGGCCTCAATGACCGCGTGCTCTTCGAGCTCACTGGCCGTAAGCGTCTGAGCCCCGTCCCCTCCAGTCCCCGCCCCATCTGGGGACCAGAGACTTGAGAGACTTGCAGCCTGTTCTGAAATCAGCGCTCTTCCGCCCTCTGCTGGTCAGGGGCAGTACTGCACCGGTAGCCGCTGGTTTTTGTTTTGTTTTTTTCTTTTTTGGGGGAATCCTTGACTTTGATGTTATCAGCACCGCAAAACATCACGCTCTAACTAGGCAGCCCTGGCTCATTATCGAGTGCCTGCTTTGTGAAGAAAAAGACACATCCTTGCCCTCATGGAGTTGACATTCTAGTGGGAGGAGGAGACAGAATAGCACCGTCTTTAAAAGTCTGATGGCAAAAGCCAGACTCCCCGGGTTCAGATCCTGAGTTCAGATCCCAACTCGGCTGCATCAGTTACTCATGTGCTCTGGGCCTCAGTTTTCTCATCTGTAAAATAGGGGTGATGGGAGTGGTGGCTGGGGAAAACGTGGGGATAGGGACCCTTCCCTGGCCCCCTAGGGTCACTCTGCACGCTCAACTCCGAGTTTCAGGAAGCAAGAACAAGTCGGTGGAGCTGGAGGACGTCAAATTCCACCAGTGTGTCCGTCTGTCGCGCTTTGACAACGACCGCACCATCTCCTTCATCCCTCCAGATGGCGACTTTGAGCTCATGTCCTACCGCCTCAGCACCCAGGTGAGACAAGATCAAGCCCCCTTGGGGTGGGGGCAGGGGCTGAGGGTTGACCCTAGAGTTTCTGAGAATTTCTCCCTTCCTCTGTGTGTAGGTCAAGCCGCTGATCTGGATTGAGTCTGTCATTGAGAAGTTTTCCCATAGCCGTGTGGAGATCATGGTCAAGGTGGGCCTTGAAGGAACACTTAACAACGCATGATCTGTCTCTTCCTACCCCATCACCTCTGACCTCTGAAAACAGATCCCTCATCCGCCCACCTCTCACCTCGCCACTGCTTCTGCCCCGGTCCAGCTCCATCCATCACTGTTCACCTGGACTAGAACAATCACCTTCCTGGTTCCCTGGCTCCCACCCTCGTCCCCCACAGTCTGTTCCCCAGAGGGTATCTGTGAAACCTGGGTCAGGTCACGACCCTCTGCCTAGAACCCTCCATGGCTCCCATCTCACCTAGGGTAAAAACCAGAGTATGGCCCGAGGCCCACAAGACCCTGCACAGTCTCCCCTGTGACCTCTCTGCCTCCACTTCCTCCTGCTGCCCCCTTCACTCACTCCTTTCCAACTATGCTGGCCTGTTTCTGGAGCACACCAAGCAAGGTCCTGCCTCAGGGCCTTTGCACTGGCTGTTCCAGCTCCTTGGATCACCGTGTCAACACCCACCCAGTTATCCACATGGTTCCTTCCTTATCTCCTTTGTTCTTTGCTTTTTTTTGATCACCGGTAAGGGGATCTTAACCCTTGACTTGGTGTTGTCAGCACCACGCTCAGCCAGTGAGCGAACCGGCCATCTGTCCATTCTTTTTTTTTTTTGGCTGCTGTCCATCTTCCACATCTGTCCATTCTTTTTTTTTTTTGGCTGCTGGTTGGTACAGGGATCTGAACCCGCGATCTTGGGGTGAAAAGGCTATACTCTAACCAACTGAACTAATAGCCAGCTCCCCACATCTGTCTGTTCTCTTGAATGGATTGTTTTCAGTTCTTGGCTGCTCCAGGTCATGTTGCCACGAATAGCCCCGTGTATGTCTCCTGGAGTTTGTAGTCAGCCCTCTTTTACAGAGGGGGAAACTGAGGCCCAGAGGGGTTAAGATAGAAGGAGCCCTATGTTGAGCTTTGATCCCCATGACTCAAGCATCTGTGTTTATAGGGACTGGCTGGTTAGTTCAGTTGGCTAGAGCGCCACCTTGTAACACCAAGGTTAAGGGTTCAGATCCTCATACCGGCCAACCACATATACAGAAAACGTCTGTGTTCGTAGACTTGACTTTGTTCCCTGGTCTCGGGGTCTCAGGGAGTTGGGTCACTAGGCCTTCAATGCTCCTCAGCGTTCCCATCTCTGCAGAAAATGAAAGGGGAAGGGGCCATTAAAGGGTCTGGAAACTTCCAGAAAGAGTGCCCCTCCACCCCAAGTTTGCCTCCAGGTGCTCTGCCCTGATCCACCTCCCAAACATCCCTCCCCAAATTAATAAATAATAACAATAATCATAACACTAGCCGCCACACGTGGAACACTTAGCACTCCTGTGTTAAAAGCTTGTTCCTTGTCATGCCGCAGTAGATATATAAATAATGTTATTAGCTTATTCATCGATTCGTAAGGAGGACCTGTGATGGTTGAGAATGCAGGCTCGGTGTGAATCCCTGCTGTGCCAGGTACCAGCTGTGCGACCTGGGCAAAGTGCTGTTTCTCTCTGTGCTTCAGTTTGCTCATCTGTACAATGGACCTTAGGAATGGATCCTACATTAGAGAGTTAGTAAGAGGGCTAAGTGCTTGGCACACGCCTGGCACATGGCAAGACTTGGTAAATGCCAGCTGGCAAACACAAACTCCTCTGTGATGGGCTGAAGGGAGTCTCTCATGGCTACGGACCCCAGCCCTACCACTTGTTGGTTGTGTGTCTTCCGGCAAATGCCTTAACTTCTCTGTGCCTTAGCTGCCTCATCTGTAAAATGGGCAGGATCGTGGTCCCCACCTCAAGGTTATTATGCAGGCCCTGGATGAGACGGCATATGGAAAGGACTTGGTGAATATTTGCAGAATGTGCAAGTAAATTCTTCACGCCCCATGCTCTCTCCCCTGACAGGCCAAGGGGCAATTTAAGAAGCAGTCAGTGGCCAACAGTGTGGAGATATCCGTGCCCGTACCCAGTGATGCTGACTCCCCGCGCTTCAAGACCAGCGTGGGCAGTGCCAAGTACGTGCCGGAGAAGAATGTCGTTATTTGGAGTATTAAATCCTTCCCGGTGAGCACTGGGGACAGGTGGGGGACCAAGGTGGGGGGGACTGGAACAATGCGGAGGCATGCCCAGGCTGCATGGGAGCCAGGCAGGGAATAAACCAGAGACCCTCATATGCAGGCACATGGTTACCCTTTGGGAGGGATAAAGAAGGAATCCAGGCCAGTCTATTGCACAGATAGGTAAACTGAGGCTCCATGATGGGAAATGGATTTAAATGCCCCAGCCCCCAAGGTCTTAAGGAAGTCAGCCCTCGGTTCAAATTCCTCACCCTTGCCTTTCTGACCTGGGTGGGCTTGGGAAACCCATTTCCCCTCATGGATGCCCAGTTTGCTGATATGTGAAATAGGGAGGATCGTGTCACCCATGTCCTTGGGCTGCTGGAAGATTTGGTCTGTCCCTGTCATCCGGGGGGTGAGGGGTGGTCATTGGGGCCTGAGAAACAGGAGATGGTAATTAGAAACCCCTGATGGGGGTTTGCAGTCAGAAGCCACCACCGAGTCTTAGCCAGGAACCTTTACTTTCTCGTCTGTGTAATGGGCTGAGAGGAGAGCTTGCTTGGGGGCTGCTGCGAGGGAGGGTTGGGGTGGGTGGGGCCCCCGTTGTGTCTGATGCCCCATGTGCTCGCAGGGGGGCAAGGAGTACCTGATGCGAGCCCACTTCGGCCTCCCCAGCGTGGAGAAGGAGGAGGTGGAGGGACGGCCCCCCATCGGGGTCAAGTTCGAGATCCCCTACTTCACCGTCTCCGGGATCCAGGTGAGGAGTGGGCAGGGAGGCTCCTGTCCTTGACCTCAGAGGGTTCCCTGCTCTCCTGTCCCTTGGCTCGAGTCACCTCAGTGCTGGCCTGTGTCACCATCCCTCCAAAGTCTTCCTTGTCCTCCCCCAGAGCCATGTTGCCTCTTCTGCTCTCAGCTGGGGTCCCCGTCCCTCCACCTCTCACTTGGACCTGTGTCACCTCGTCCCCCCCAAACCGTGTCATGTCTCTTCCCTTACACTGTGCCACCTTTTTCCTATTGTCCTGGATGACCTGCCCCCTACACCCTCTCACGCATGTCACCTCATTGCTTCCCAGCCTGTGCCATCTTCTTCCCCCAAGCTGTACATAAAAGCCCTTGGCCCAAGCCACCTCTCTCCTCCTGCCACCTCACTCCTGCAAGCCTGGGCTACCCCTTTTCATTCTGTTCCAGGTCCGGTACATGAAGATCATCGAGAAAAGCGGTTACCAGGCCCTACCCTGGGTGCGCTACATCACCCAGAGTGGTGGTAAGGAAGTCCGGCTCCCTTGGACAATGGGGACGGGCAGGTGGAGGGGGTGGGGACTCAGGTTTCTGATCACATCTGGCTCAGAAAACTCAACAGGCCTGGCTCCAGGCCTGCCCCTCCTGTCCTGCCACCCTGGGCTCAATTTATACATATCTTTAAAATGGGGGATTGGCTGACTGGTTAGCTCAGTTGGTTAGAGTGCAGCCTTGTAACACCAAGGTCAAGGGTTCAGTTCCCCATACTGGCCAGCTGCCAAAATAAAGTAGGGCACGTTGCCGGCTCTAGAGTGGTCATTCAGTTTGGGTAAGGGGCTGAATATGTAGCACCCCTACCTACTGCCTGGTAACCTGTTTGTTGCTATGGTTACAGTATCTGTGTTTAACCCCACCCTTAGCCTTGTTAAATACTCCCCAGGGCGATCCTGAGCGCTGGGGCAGGGGATGGATTTGGGGGAGCTGTCCCTCCTCCCTTTTCCCTTGCCTCTGAGATGATCCCTGCTGGCTGTTTCTCTGCAGATTATCAACTTCGTACCACCTAGAAGGGAGAAGTGGGGGCTTGAACGTGGGGCCTCCCTCTGCCCAGGCCCTGGCTGCAGATTTTAGAAAGGGAGGGAAGCTGGGGTGCGTGAGGGGCAGGCCCCTGACTTAGCAGTTTCTTGCTCCTAGCCCCCAGCCCCCTCCTCGCCTCTTCCTCTATCCATTGGCTGGGAGAGGTGGTCTTCCTGCCTCCCTCACTCTTGGGGCTTCTCCCCTTCCCCCGGTTTTATATGAAGAAATAGAAGAGGGGCTTGAAGCCCCCTCATGAGTGCCTTCTTGCAGTGACCTGCCTTAGGGGATGTCAGGAGCCCCTCATCCTTCATAGCTGCTGAGCCCAGAGGGCCCCGCTGGCCCATTCCTCTGTGTTTCAGATGTCATTAAAAAGATGAATCTAGCTGCTGTTATGTGGTTCTTGGCTGGGGACTGGAGATGCAAGGGACGTCCCTGAAGTGCTGGGATGGGAGTGGGCAACATGTTCATTGCTCACTTGGGCCAAGGTAATGGCCTCCACCCTATCCCCTGATCCTGCCTTCGCTGGCCCCCCACTCCCGAGTCTGTTCTCCTCATAGCTGCCAGAGGGCGCCAGTCAACTTCTAAGTCAGATCATGGCTCCTCCTGCTCAGAACCCTCTCCTGGTTCCCGTTTTGCCAAAGCCAAGTACTGACAGCAGCCCACAGGCCTCATCTGTACAATCCCACCTACCTGCCCTCAACTCCTCCCACTCTCCCCTCTGCACACCAGGCACGCTCCCACGTGAGGGACTTTGCATCTGCAGGGCCCTCTACCCGCCATGCCTTTCCACAGACACCCACATGGCGCCGTCCCTCACCTTCAGATCGCAAATCGAATGTCATCTCCTCAAGGAAGCCCTCCTTATTTCTACGGATTTCCTTTCCCAAGAGACTATTATTTATCCTGTTTTACCAGCTCCTTAGCAGTTACCACTCTGAATATATTTAATTATTTTCTCCTCCTGCCTTAGGTTGTAGGCGTCCCGCAGCAGGAGCCGCTTAGCTCGCTCTCCAGCTGGGCGCCTCCAGGAGGTGCTCAGTAAATCTTTGAATGAAGGCCCCTGTAGCCGCCTCGGGCCGCGACTCTCGCCTCCGAGTCTCGCTCATGTGGCAGCTGCAGGGTCAACCTTCCCTCCTCGCTAGGCTGTCTTTCTGAGCCCAGGAAGGGTGATTCCTTCTTCACCCACCCCACTTCCCCGTTTTATTTTCTTCATGGTGCTTAACGTTATCTAAAAGTATTTAGTTGCTCGAATGTGAGCTCACCGGCGCCCAGAACTGTCCCTGAACACAGTGGGCGAATGAATGAATGGTGGGACCTCAAGCTGGGCGGCCAGCCCTGCTTCCCTACCCCCAGGAGGCGCCGAGGTCCCGGAGCAGCCCGCGCTATCCTGTCTCTGACCTTTCTCCCCCGGATCAGTTAAACGGGCCCTCTTTCCCGCCCGCCCGGCTCATTTGAAAACCGAAAACCCCGCCATTGCCGGCGGCCCACCGGTCGCCGCTCCCTGGCCAATCAGGAGTGACACCGCCCACGTCGACGCTCGAAATCCCCCGGCAACGCGCAGCCATTGGCTGCGCAGACCCTGTGGGCGGGGCGCCGTGAGGTCGCGCGCCGGGCAACGCGGCTCGGCTACAGTGTAGCGAGTTTGGAAGGAAATAAATCGGCGGCGTCCGGGGGCGGGTCCGCGAGCGCGCTGGCTCCGCCCCCTGGAGGCCGACTCGGCGGCGGCGGCGGCGCAGGCTCAGAGCCGACCCCGCCCGTGGAGGAGGAGGGAGGGTGAGTCGGGGGAGACCCGGCCCCCAAGGGGCGGGCGCCGGGCAGGGCCCTGCGGGCCGCGGAGGGTTGGGCCGGGCTCCCAGCCCCTCACCGCTCCGCCGGCTGACAGGGGGAGGAGCCGGCTTGGGAGAGCGGGGGTCGCTCCGGAGCCCGGGACTGGCGAGCCGGCCCGGGAGTCTATCGCAGGCCCGGCGCACGGCGGCCGAGCCCCGGGAAGGTTGCCCCGCACTGACCGAGTGGGGGTGGGGCGGGGGGCTTCGCAGGCCGCCAGGTAGACATGCTGCTAGAGCAAGTCCGCGCCGGAGACCGGCTGAGTGGGGCCGCGGCCCGGGGCGACGTGCAGGAGGTGCGCCGCCTTCTTCACCGCGAGCTGGTGCACCCCGACGCCCTGAACCGCTTCGGCAAGACGGCGCTGCAGGTGAGGCCCTGCCAGCCCCGGGCAGGGGCGGGGGAACGGAGCGAGGACCGAGACCCCAGACCCCTTTTCTCCGGTCTTCTGGCTCCGGTGGTGACCCACTGGTTGCCCGTCCTCCTTTTCAGGGCTGATGTTGTTCCCCGAGATCCCCTTTCGTAGGTGGGTGGGGGATGAGGTTAGGTTGGGGGGAGGGGAGGGCTATCCCTCTTTGGAGGATTTGCTTTCCCTGGAAAGGTTCTTATTCTGTGGGTGGGTTCAGCTTCTTTGGATCCGGGTTTCATAGGGACGGCTCCGGTTTCTTGGGCTTTTATGTGGAGAGCCGATTTCTGGAAGGAAGGATTCATGTCTATGGGGGGTGGTCTCTGTTTTCTGGGAAGTTCTTTGAGAGGTTCCAGTTATTACTTGGTGGGGTGGGTCCTCATTCCGGGAGGCTGGCAGATTCTTGGTATAATTATGGGAGCCCCAATGGAGAAACAGTGTCAGATTGCATGAGGTCCCTATTCCCTGGGGGGCATTTCATAGGAGAATCCCATTCTTTTCTTTCTTTCTTTCTTTTTCTTTTTTTTTTTTTTAGAATCCTATTTCTTGAGGGTGGCTCAGGTACTGAGGGACATCTCCATTATGCATTTCATAGGAGAATCCCATTCTTTTCTTTCTTTCTTTCTTTTTCTTTCTTTTTTTTTTTAGAATCCTATTTCTTGAGGGTGGCTCAGGTACTGAGGGACATCTCCATTATATAGGAGGGGGATATTCGCTAGAGAAGGGGGTTTCAAATTTCCTGGGCCTCTTTTCCCTTGAGAGGATTGTTAACGTTTTGGGAGTCAGTTTTCAGTCTTATGGGGCTTATTTCCTGGAGGGGGCTTTATATTTCTTGGTGATTTCCTATATGGGAGGGTGTCTCTGGTTCCTTGAGGGAGGGTCTTAGGTTCCTTGAAAGTTTCCATGAGGGCTACTCTCTGGGGCAGTTTTCAGTCTTATGGGGCTTATTTCCTGGAGGGGGCTTTATATTTCTTGGTGATTTCCTATATGGGAGGGTGTCTGGTTCCTTGAGGGAGGGTCTTAGGTTCCTTGAAAGTTTCCATGAGGGCTACTCTCTGGGTTAGGGTCTCATTCTCAAAGGCATGACCAGCTTCTTGGGGGTCCATGGTCCCAGGAGAATTTGTTCCCTGGGGTCTCAAACAGCTCCCTGAAGGATTATGTTCCCTGGGGTTTCCCCATTCTCTAGGGGACCCCTTCTCTGATATTCTCTATTCCTGGAAGATCTCTCTGGATGATCCTTCTCTCTCCAGTAACTTCCTTTTCTGGACTCTCTCCCTTGGGGACCTCCTGATCCTCTGTCCCCACACAGGTCATGATGTTTGGCAGCACCACTGTTGCCCTGGAGCTGCTGAAGCAGGGTGCCAGCCCCAATGTCCAGGACGCTTCTGGTACCAGTCCAGTCCATGATGCAGCCCGCACTGGATTCCTGGACACCCTGAAGGCGTTAGTGGAGTATGGCGCTGATGTCAACGTGCCTGATGGCACTGGGGCACTTCCCATCCATCTGGCAGTGCAGGAAGGCCACACGGCTGTGGTCAGTTATCTGGCTGCTGAATGTGATCTCCATCACAGGGATGCCAGGGGGCTCACACCCCTGGAGCTGGCTCGGCAGAGAGGAGATCAGGACCTCATGGACATCCTGCAGGGGCACACAGTGGCCCCGCTGTGACCTGGGGCTGTCCTGTCCAGCAAGAGAACCCCACTGGGTTATATTTCAGAAGAGGAGAGAAGAAACACTTTCTCTCCTCGCTCCTCCTGCCCACTGCCGAAGGGGGGAGGAGCACCAGTTTGTGGCTTATTGGTGTTGATTTCTGGGGTGTGTGTGTTTGGGGGATGTTTCTCATTTGTTTTTCTCACCCCTTTTGGCATGTTGGACAGAGAAGGTCTCCTGCAGGCAACAGCCACCTAAACGGTTTATTTTCCTCTGGGCCCGTCTGCTGGGGCAGCAGACAAGACCCGAGGGCAGAGCGTTTAAAGCCCCAGCCCGAGTGAGGTCATCGCCTCCAGGGTTCCTGGAACCTGGCGACCTTGGCCGGCTGTGCTGAGAGAGAGATCTGAAGTGTCGCACTGCTTCGGGCATGGGAGAGGGCGGGAGAGTTCCAAATCAATAAAAGGGTAGCATGAGTTCATTCATATTTTGATGGAAGCTTGTTTTCCAGTCTTGTACAGCGATTAAAAAAAAAAAAAGATTCTATTTATTAAACTTTATTGAGAAAATTGTGTGATAATTTAATGTTTTTACCCATTAAATTAAGACTTGTGCATGATCACAGTGTGGGTGGCTTCTGATTTGTGAGTCTGAAATGGGGAGTCGCGCGTCCAGGATGTCGGTCGGGATGAGCACAGGGATCTCAGATCGTGGCTGCTGTGGGGGAGGGGAGAGAGTAGTAATTCCCAGGGCGCCAGGGTGAGAGAATTGGGTGGGGCAGCGGTTTGCGCTGTCGGAACGGAAAGGAGACAGGAAACCGCGAGTGGAGAAAGGGCCCCCAGATGTCAGCTGTGTGCCCGGAGCCCAGGGGATAGGGAGGGCGGGCGGTGGCCGCGGCCTTCCCCGCAGAGGCGTGACCCATGGGCGGGGACTGCGGTAACAAGGCGAACGAGATCCCGGAAAAGCCAGGGGCGGGGTTCGGCGCGGCCCGCCCCCTGTAAAGCTGTTGGTGGGCGTGACCAAGGATGGCCCCGCCCCGTCCGGGCGCCCTCCACGCGCATGCGCACTGGGCCGCAGAGCCGCCATGCCGGAGCCGCGCAGGTCTTCCCCGCTGCGGGTGAACGCGGCTTTCGCGGCGCGGTACGGCCGCTACCGGGAGCGCGAAGAGCTGCAGCGGCGTGAGTGCGGGGCGCATGCGCTCAGGGCGCCGGGGCATGCAGGGCCGCGGAGGATTGGGGGTAGATCTGGTCCCCTAGGCTGATCTGTGAGGGATCCCGTATGTGTCCCGCAGTGAAGGATCGCTACGGGGACCGGGACAGCGGCAGCGACTCCAGTTCCGAGACTGACTCCAGCGACGAGCACGTGGTGCACTTCCCCGCCCTGTCCCGGACGTGCCAGGCGTCCAAGCCCCCCATCGCATCCCGACCCCGACCACAGGGAGCGTCTAATCCCCAATCCCATGAGGGACAGACAACGCCCTCCCTATCCCCAGGGGTGGCCAAATCCT